TGTGCGTCTGTCCGGATATTTCAACTCGGCACCCAAGCAAGCTCCGGCGCCAAAATTTTGCTGGTGAGTTCCCCGGTCGAATGCCACCCTAGGACCGTGGTATCAATCCTCACGCAAGTCTGGGCCCCGCGTACGAGGGGGTGAAAGTTTTGGCGCGAAAATCGCCAGCTCGGGAACCAAGAAAGCTGGGAGGCTGAAATTTTCAGGGAATGTTCACAGTACATGAGCAACTTAAATTTAACAAAATCAGCACCCAGGCAACCGTGGTTATCACGTATGGCCTCGTGAATTTTTTTGGTGCGAAATGGATAACTCGGGAACCAGAAAAGCCCGGAGGCTGAAATTTTCAGGAAATGTTCCCAACCCACGTACGGCTTAAATTTATAAAACTCACCGCCCTTCCTCCCCCTCGCCCGGCCATGCGTGGTTGTTGCGTACGGTCTCGTGAATTTTTTTGGCAGGAAAATTGCTAATTCAAGAAAATTTGGGAAGCTGAAATTTCAACGAAATGTTCCCTGTCCAACTATTGCATAGACAATTAACTTCCGAGGCTTCGATGACCAGTATATCACACATTTCAAGCTACTGGGTTTCCGAACGATCTCATTACAGCGCGAAATATTGCAAAAACGCATGGTCGCACGGGCCAGCCCGGTGCGCTTCGCCAATGATTCTTCTTTGCGCTAAACTCATCGAAAGATGCAAATTTGAAAATGCACAGGACGTCCGAAGAGGACTACGAATCCGCGAAAAGTACTCGCGTTTGAGATTGCAAAAATTAATATTTCTCACGTCCTCTTACAGGGCATTTAACCTCAGAGCTGTGTTTAGATTAATTATGAATGTAAAATATCCTTGCAAAGTTTCAGCCTCGCAGCTTGCCTAGCAAGCGAAATCGTCCCTTCGCTACAAATACCGTTGAAGCGCCCTAAAGCTTGGCGCATGCGCTGTTTGAAACTCTGCTTGGGCATGCAATTTTCCAGATAGGCGATAAACATTCTGCCATATCAGCTAGTTTTCTCATACCCAATTATTGTTAATAAGTAAAAAATAAAACAATAACAGTCAAAAATGCAAGCCATCTTAAAACAGCAGCAAGTAAGCGAATAGCAGTACGATCCCATGTTCGTTTTCAAATGTCGGCCTAGTTACTGGAATCTCCCCACAATTTGTTCACTTGTTTCGATGAATAAACTGGCACTTGCATCAGTCAGGAAGGCCAATCTGCCATCAGCTTGGTACTGCTGCAAAGGTCAATCAGCTACATTAAAATGTAATTTTTCCGAAAGTCACGGACAGTCTTGCCAGTGGGTGATTGTAATCTTTCCATTTGGTAATTGCTTATTAGTAAGTGGGCTATTTTTGAATGCCTCCGTTTCTCACGGAAATTGTATGCAGAGGGATTTTGACTTTGGTATCGTAAAGAAAAGTTTTCTTTTTTAATGCTCAATTTCCTTCGGTAGCAGTAAGCTGAAAAGTAGTTTAATGCACACATGGGATGTGCATAATAAGTGTAGAAGGATGCGCGCCTAATTAACCAAATCATCAAGCCTTAGCGCTAGGACTGTGCGTTAATCTATAATTCAATCATGCGTTTCGTCTGCCAAAACAACATGTGCATTTATTTATCTTTGGCTTATAAACATGTTAGACACGTGGGTTTTGGTTGTCGTTGTGCCAGCAGCCTGTTGTTTGGTCTCTAAAATTCGCACAACTTTTTTTCATTGCAGACCTCATTAATCTACTCAAAATTGCATGGCCGGGAGGTAGGGGGATGTTTTGTCAACAACATTTTTTTGCATTTAGCAAAACGAGAAAACATGATGATCATTGGTTAGCGACTGAGCCTTCTGATAAATGAAATTTTGTTAACGAATGATACAGGACGACACATTCTTCTAGACCAGACGAAAATATTCCTACTATGGTTTCAAGTATCGAATGAACTTCAAACACTTTTTCGGCTCATCCTATTAGATCAGTTTCAGGAGCAAATAGCATAAGTCGAGCAAGAGGAAAGGAAGACGATGACTGATGAGGCAAGATATACTGTTTTTTTGTTGCATGAATTATGCTGCATTCTGAAGAATCGATTACGTGCTGAAGTGCTCTCTAAAATTTTCTCTGTGATTTGTTGCCGGTCTTCGACAAAAAAAAAAGAAAAAAAAAGGATTTGCAAATCAGCAAATAATGTTAATCTCTTGCTGCATCATGGTTTTCTTCTAGGTGAGGTATATATAATGGCGCGAAACTGTCTATATAAGGTCACTGTTTTTGTATTAAAGGTGTGTTGTGTTTTGCTGGCGACCTTGACGACCAACGGAGAACACGGATCCTCCTAGCCCCAACCATCATCAAGGAATCGACGACCCAGCCAACAATCCGAGGGGGCGCTGGAGCACCCGGCCAGCGGAAGAGGCCTCCAAGGCCCCAATAAGATTATCTCGGTCTTTTAATTAGTTTGCTGTGTTGATGCTGTACTCCTGCCAGTACTGACGAATTATAAGGAAAATAGCCGTTCGAAAATAATTTTGATAAGTGTCAGACGAAAGGGGTGAGGAACTGGAAGGAAGGCAGATGAAGACGTGTGTTGTGGCGATCGTGAAGTCCTAATGCGTGTAATACGCGTCAAGCGCACACGTAATAATGCATCAAGTTTGCGTGTAACGTCTCACTGTGATATTCACTAAAGATTCTATGGGAGCCTCGCGTAGCTGACAACAATCTCGTGTAATTTGTTTGCTGGCCGAAGTGGAAAGCGCAGCTTTTGATTTACTTCTCGAGCAAAATTATTTATTGCTAGCCTCTTCATAAACTGGTGATTATTACTAGAGGAAAATGGCTGATGTTTAAACGGTTAATGCATCACCTTCTTTAGAGCATGAAGAGAAATGTTTTGGTGGGACAGGCCGTTTCTGAAGTACGCGAAAGGTTTCGAATTATTTATTTCTCCTCAGATTGTTTTGTGGTAAAACAACTTTGCAATGGAAGGTTTTTCAGTCTGGCACCGATTACATTGGTGTTGCAAAGAAGAAACTGAGCGACGCCGCAGAATCAGCCATTGATATGGCCAGCGGATTATATCATGCTGTGAGTTTCAGTTCTTCTTGAGTCGCTTAAAATGCTATCCAACAAAAAGGAAGGACAAAATAATTCAGTGGCACTTTTTTCTTGTAATTAAGTTTGTAGCGGAAGTGAGGGAGAGGCGGAAAAAGTTTTGACAAAAGAAGGTGAAAACTGTGGGTGAACGTGCTAGAATATATTACTAAATATTTCAAACAAAGGGTTTGAGCGAATTTGTTGAACTCAACGATTTTGTTATTTTTTGAAGATTGTTGGAGATACAAGACAAGAGGTGAAAACGGCAGGTGAAGCAAATTGCGCAACTGATAAGGCAAGCGAAACGCGAAATAAAGCCGGTACCAGTTTAAGCCTTTGTGAAAAGAGATTCGCAAAAAATATTTGAGAAAACATAAGCACCGTCTCGCCACCATAACAGTTGTACTAACAAAATCCACTTATGGTATTGTTTGGAATGTATGTAAATTAATGGGCCGAAACAATCCAATTCAGTTATATCCAATCTTAACTTTCTATTTTTGCCTTATTCCTTTCGCTGTGGATAGTCATAACATCTGTCGTGTTTTTTGCTGCACTCAGTATCACTTACGAATTAACACAAACTATCCTAAAGCAGAAAAGGCTAAACGTCGAATAAGATGTTGAGCTACTAAAAACTTCGCTTCTGTTCAAAAATAAGAAATATTTAGTTTTTTTTTTTTTTTTCAGGCAACAAATTGCATCAAGTCGCCGACGATGTGAAGCATTAAACTGCTGATAACAAAATAATTGCA